TGTAAATCAATATAATGTCTTAATTGGTTAACCAAATAGCTGCCATGCTATGAGTCACTGCAGCTCTCTGTGAGCATCTCTTTCTGCCTGCTTACACTTCTTTAGCCACTCCACGGCTCCTCAGGAGGAAAAGTTACAGGGCCCCTCTTTCTGCTCTCAGCAGTCATTAGAGCTCAGAACGCTGCAACATGTGGACTACTCATCTTCCAGTAGTTTGGATCTCTTCAGAGTATTTTCTTAAAATTTATTTCTGAGGACTCTTCCTCCAACTATCCGTGCAATATATACACTTATAAAGTGAGTGTTTTATAACAGCAGTGAGTAGGATAATCGCATGATTAACTGCCTAAGGAAGAATTGTAGAACATCTCGGGGAGAGAGCTCTAGGGAAATCACAGATTTTATATAAGTAGGTGCCAAACTTAGTTATGGGTTGGTTTGATCTAAATAAACTCCCAGATCTTTCTGTCGTAACGCTCTGAACTCTCAGGTTGAGAAGCTGAGTTAACTCCGTGCAGTGGTATCACCTGTTGTGTGAGGACCAAACACTTATTCAATAGACACCTTCCAAGACATGAGTACCTGATGCTCCTAAATGATGAAAATAAATATCAAACACTGAGCCAAGACAGTCTGAAAAAACTCTTACATCTGGGGTGGCACTTCAAATGATAAAGTACAGCCTCCTCACTAGGAATTGTTTCTGTTAGTGCAAACAGTTTTGTCAAATATATGGTGTTTTGCCAAAAAGAAAAGGAACTGATACAGCTTTCTATAGTGTCATACTGGATAATTTGTCATTGTTTGAGGCAACACAGTATATATCCGAATTGACTTTCGCCCCTCTATCAATTCAACCCTCATATGCTGGGTTTTAGATTTTAATGTAGCCCATTCAGGAGGGAAGCACCCACCACAAAGTTCAGTTTGTGACTCGGGTCGCCGTTTCCCCAGAGTCTGCTGAATGAACTGCTTTTGGTTTAGGATCCTCTTTAGACTTCCTTTATCCTGTTCACAGTCAGGAGAGGGCGAAGAGAGAGGTGGTATCACCCATTTTGCTTCTGGTCAGGTCGAGCCAGGGTTGTGTTCCATTTCCTTGCTTCCTTGTGAGAGCTGCATCCATGATGAAAATCAGCAGAGCTGATAATGGAAAATTATGTAGTAATGCCATCTAACCAGAAGTTGGGCTTCAGATTTAAGAGTGGCCCTTTTCTAATCATGGGGTTTTTCTTCTTCTCTGTGCTGAAGGGTTGTATCTTAAATATGTTAATATAGAGCTTATTCCTCATGTAAAATGAGAAATTTCAACACTAGGTGTAATACAGGGTTGAAATTACTTTACCACCTACATTTAATCATGGACTCACATGTCCCAATTACTTCACAGGTGCACAGAAATATCAGGATGAATAAAATTCCCTGCTTGTGGTTCCACATCCTTTTTCAACACTTCCACATGCTGAGTTTTCATTTGTTGTTAGAAATGACTGATTTCTAAGCAAGCTACAGTATGAAATGGAAACTTTTATTGCCAATTATAAGACGAATGAATGACTTCTGAAAACAGGTTGGCCAAGTTAGAAGGCACTAGCTAGTAACCACCTCATCAAATAAAAAAATTTTTAAATAAAAGCCCATTAAAAAAAACCCACCAAAACAGCAACAACAAAAAAATCTCAAGAAAGCCCCTACAAAAATCCCCCAAACAGAACACACACACACACACACACACACAAAAAACCCTGAAAAAAACCAAAACAGGAAGATCAAGAACTTGCAATTGCTCTTGGAAATTGCAAGTTTTAAAAGTAAAATCTTCAGGCTCCATTCCTCTCCTGAGATTAATTTTCGTAGAGGTTAAATCAATACCATCAAGGACAAAAAATGAAAGCCAGATAAAGAATGCCATCACCATTTCTGTTCCTTAGAATTGCTATGGATCATCTATTTATTGTTTCAAGCAGTGTAGGAAATGTAAGATTGTGAATGCCATAAGAATGTCTGGAGGTCCATTCTGTTCCCTTTACACAAAAGGATGCCATTCCCCATGGGCTCTGAGATATTACTGCAATGAACTTTATTAATAACTAATAATGCCCAAAAGTAACCTGATAAGATAGATAGATAGATAGATAGATAGATAGATAGATAGATAGATAGATAGATAGATAGATAGATAGATAGAGGAACATAATATCATCAAAATAAAGACTCACAACTGCCCTTTTTGATTTTATACTCAGTGTGATAGATTAGGATCTGATAGCATGAGTCTGTTGCCATGCAGGTCCTTTGGAAAATGTTGGAAATTGGGCATTTACTCGTAAGGATTTCCTGAGGATCCCAGAGAAATAAACTTTTCTGTGATCAAAACTCTCAGTTTTCCCAGAGTCACAGAGTGATTGAGGTTGGAAGGGACATCTGGAGGCACATGGCTGCTGGTAGCTCCATCCTATGGATTCTTTTTAGAAATTGCTTGGACATGAGAGAAAATGTTTATATTTACACTGAATAGATAAGAAGATTATAAAAAGCACTAACAACTTCAGCACAGGGAATTTTCAGGGAAATTAATGACTAGCCGGAGTTAATGGCCCTCAGCTTCACGTTGGCCCATCAACTCTCCCAGTCAGTCATTAATTCCCAGGAAATGCCTTGTGCTTTGATTGTTATTGCTTTAATACATTAAATTCAAGTTAAAGGCTCGACTTAATGTTTAGCCACTAGAAAGTAAAACTCAAGGAAATGTTCCCACTGGACATACACGCTGTCAAATATATTTTTGTTTACTTTATTTTCCATGGGTATTTAAATAAAAGGAATTGAATACTCATTTACCAATTTGCTTTGGATTTGCTACTCATAATGGTACTCAAAAATTTCTCTATTTCATCTTTGACATTTATTTAATGTTTTACTAAGGACTGCTTATCTGAGTTCAAATATGACTGAATGTGCAAAGTATAGACATGACTACATTTAATGAAAAGATGAAATTAAAGATTGATCAGAAGTAATTCTGTTGTAGCTAATTACGGTCATACTAGTGAAAAAAACTTGCAGAAAAAAAAAAAAAGACACTATAACTGTTTACAATCTCCAGCAGAAAGTGAAAAATCAATTACTATTTTGGCCCTAACCCAATTGAAAGGTAGAAATCTGCTGGTGCCAGTTGTCCTTGTGAAATTTTTGCCACTGTGACCTTCCCCCCTGGGAAAAATGCTGTGGACAGGATGATGCCAGTTGTCCTTGTGAAATTTCTGCCATTGTGACGTCCACCACCAGGAAAACTGCTGTGGAAAGGATTTTTTCTGCCATGTTCTGATAAATCTGAGTTGGATTCAAATTTTTTTTTAAAAAAAGTCACCAAAAAAGTCCAGGCACCTGGACTTAGTGTGAATTCTGATCTAAAAGCACAGTTTCCAGCAATGCTGAAAATGTCTTTTTTTTTTTTCTTGAGTCATTTTATATGTTACTTAATTACTCATCAAATGTGCTCGGCCGTATTTTTAAACACAGCCAGTTCCCTTTGCTTCAACACATGAAGAGAACAGATGAAAAAAAAAACTTCTTTCTTCAATATTGCACTCAAACTGTTGGTGTTCCTCTTTCATTCACTGGCTGAATAATATACTCTTGCCCCTGGGGGAAATAGTTGCACATGGGCCTGAAAATCCCTTTTCTGAAACTTCCTTTAACGTTCCATGGTCGTACCTACTTTCTGGTGCTGCTCCATTAAAGCCAACAGTTACAATTGGGATAGAGCTGACATTGGAATGTAACTGTACACTAAGGTGAGGTTTGGTTTGATGTGCACATAAAAGCACATCAGAATCACCACTAGATTTCTGCATTAAGTTTTCAGGACTCTGGCAAATGTCACGCAGTCACTGTCATGCATTGCTGAAGTCTATACACTTACAAGTCCTTGGGATGTGAGATGATGCTAAGCCAGGCTAAAATATGAGACAAAAGCTGCTTATAAAGGGATTCAGACAACTTAGTGTATATTTTGACTGATACTCACTGGATGAGTGACATTGTATAAGTCACCTGAACTATCTCTGCATTAGTTTTGCCAGACTGAAAAATGAGAAAAATGCTCGTAAGGTAAAGAGAGAAAGGAAAAAAAAAATCCTGTTATTGTCACTTTTAATTTGATACTCCACGCTGGCAGGCCTCCCAATGCAATGCTTGTAGTGAAATTCTGAGCTGCAATCAATTCTCCCTTCTCTGGAATCAGGGGCTGGGGTTATGCAGGTGTTGGAAGCACAGTATAGAGACACTCACACTGTTCATCCATAGTCAACTGAGTAGGAGCAAGGAGACTACCTAGAACCCAGGGGGTGCATGCTGAGCATCTCTTCACCCTGCTATAGATGGTCTGGATTACTCGTCTTACATAACAGAGAGCTGGCTGCAATGATAATGTGGTAAAATCTCCCAAATCGTTAAAATGCACACAATGTCCAGGCAGCCTATTGTCACCCCGCTCCTGCAGAGAGGGAACTACAAAAAAATTAAAAGCTACAGAGAAAGAAGAGGAAACGTGTCAGACACCCTGAATGAACAGGGCTTGCAGCCCCACTGAGCCCCCTGCACAGGTCTGGCTGCAAGCTTGGGCAGATTTTAGTGTGTCCATCCACCCTCTGACTCCCGTGGGAACAACCTCTTTGTAACTGGTCAGAGCACTTGGACTGCACCTGAGCCAAGGGGTGCCTCCTGATATGATGCACAAATGTGAGGTACCCTAAAAAAATCTGCTTTCCAGACTGAACTATCTCACCACACAAGACAGCACTGATCTAAATTTTCCATTCTTGAAACCAGCCTTTCTTGCCTTCTCCTGATGAAACCTTTGAGATGTATTGGGTAATATGTCCGGACATTTACATTGCTGGTGTCAGCTTTACAGAACTGCCAACTCTGCTCTGAATGTGCCACCTTCCCCTTTCTCGCTTGGCTGGTCTTCCCCCACCTTCAGTAGCACCCGTATCACCAGTGCCTTTACTCCACAATGGGACAGGATGGTGGAAATACATCACACCACAGCATGGAACAGGGGGGAGGTGGTGGCTTAGGGCCACCTTGTGAGCTACGGGCTGTCCTGCAGGACCCAGGTAAGCCCCTTTCAGGGGACAAAAAATCCTGGCTGTGTGTCTGCTGCAGCCTCGCTGCGCTCGGCAGATGCAGCAGGTCCTGTATCGGAGCCAGCAATCGTCCTTCTCACAGGGCTCTGGTGTGGCAGATGTGCAACAAAATGTGGAAACAAAGATCTGGGATAGAGGGAGGGTACAGGTGAGGCACAGAGGAGAAGGTTTCTTGTGAGAGTGGGGAAGAAGTTGTCAATAGGGGGACATGGATCTCATTTGAAGAAATGCAGTGAATGCAAGCAGCGGTCATCATGGCCCTCAGCACCTGATATTGGTTTGCAGGGGAGAAAAGTGGGACTGTACTGGGAACTAATCTATCCTTTACAACCTATCTGGTGATGAGACAACCTTCCAGACATTAGCTGAACAGGAGTCTAGCACGGGGAATTATGCCCAGCTCTTCAGAACGCCTGAAGGAAGGGAAGGGCTCTGTGTGGTTGTAAGCTGATTCCATCCATCTCAGTGGGGTGTTCAGGCTGAAGGCTTATGATGATAATTGAAATGTCAACATCAATGATTTAATTGCACAGCAAACAAATAACATTCAGCTCTACAAATATTTTACATTTACAAAAAGAGATCATTTTAGCGACCATGGTAGGTAGAGGCGGTGTCAACCATTTACTAGAACTACTGCAGACCTTCACCTCAAAACTGTGTCTTAGTCAAGGTATTGCTTAGTTTGTATAAAATTAATTCCTCAATTTTCCTGTAGATACCACAAATGTAAGCATTTCATAGCTGCTAAATGCGCCTCTTATCCCCTCAACCAGCTGCTAAAGTATCCACATTTAACATGTTTTCAACAATTGGTCATTATTTATTAAAAAATTATATAAGGAATTTTAATAATTTAACCCATATTAATTTACTTTATAATAATTTCTACAATATATTGAAATTTTCCTCAGTACAAATAATGCTGTCAAATGAGAAACTGAAAAACAGAAGGACTCTGAGGTAGGTTTCATTGAATCTAATAAAAGCTAATAACAATAATAAACAAACAGCACAGCTATTCTCTGAAGGCACTGGATTGCATAGAGAACAATGAAAAAAAGCCGTATGTGAGCGCCTGTCTTATAATTATCCAGTTTCTTTTAATATCAGCCATGGCCAATTCATTGCCAGATTTTCCAAACAAGATTACTGTGTCTAATTAAAGCATAGTCCTGGCTGATCCAAAATTATTTCTCGGATTATTTCTGAGAAAATTATTACTGAGATTATTTCTCAAGGAGCCACAGGGCACCGTGGCCATCTGATCCCTGCCCGTGATCTTCAAGGTCCCTTCCAACACAAATCATTTTATGATTCTTGCTTCCTGCTTTGGGAGAGCAACCCCTGTGCCAGAGGGGTGCATCAGTTCCGGGGTTAGTGATGCTCTGAATGTGATGGCTCTGAAGGGCCACGCACCAGCAGCACATCCCTGCCAACACCTGGGGGTCCCTTTCAGCTCGGGTAGGTCCGTGCACTTCAGGAGGTGCCTGTTGCAAGCACAGCTCAGTGCTGCACCTCACTGATGCCTGCTTTGAAGCCAGGCCACTGTGATGCCTCCAAGAGTCTCCAGTGTCTCACCTGGGACTACAACCCTATATTCCACTTATCCCAGCAGACGAGATGGGGGCTGACAGGCTGCAGGTGGGATTGGCTCGCCTTCTTCCTTTTGTCTCAGGAGGGAGATCACCAACACACGAGTCAGTATCTTGAAAAAAATTTATTAATACAATGTAAAAACAACAGCTACCACAACCCACTCACCTCCTACCCCCTTCAGTAACACAACATCAGACACCTTTCATACACTGCCTCTTTTTTTCATCCATTCTAGATTTTCCAAAAGATCAAAAGCTGGTAACACTACCGGCCAAGTCATATTTTCCTCTTGTCAGCTACTACTATTTTAGCAGATAAACAGGATTATAGCTGCTCTTTTGGTTGTTTTTGTTTTGTTTCAAATGAAAATTTGCTAAACACAGCCTGAAATTGCACATAACTTGCTGGGAAGCTACAGTAAGCAGTTCAAAAGAGCATTCTTTCGAACTGATAGAGAATTACATTCTCTATCTCTGTCTCTCTTATCATTGCCACTGCTCTTTAAGCAAGCTGTTTGTTAACATTTTAGAAGTAGCTCACAGAGGCCTTGATGTGGTTTAATGTGCTCTTTGCCTTCTAAGGACTTTATGTGCAAGTTTCTTAGCATGGATCTCTTGTTGGACAGGGTCATACAACACCAGGGTGCTGCACAGCTCACCCAATGGCCAATGACACATTTTTATATAGTTTGCAGTACTGTTTTTTAGCCTCTGTCCTGCAGACTATTACTCTCTGCCCACCTTTCTTTAATATTAGTAATCAACCTACATCTAGGCAAGGACTTTCTGAGGATGCCAGTACAGCACAGCTGAAATCTATCTACTTTGTCAGATTATCTTGAACAGGGTTTGTCTTCTGGGATCCATTAAATGAAGAAAAAGAAATTATGACGTGCTCTTCTCACTCTGGCAAAATCCAAGTCTGGCGGGGAAGCTTGGCCTGCTTAGCGACTGTGCATGGGGAGTTCACCTCCCTGGTGAAATTCGGTTCCATCCACAGTTTCTTTTCATAAGTTCATATTTGCACAAAGGCAGCCTTCACGCTCCCGACTCCATTTGATCTTCCCCGTCGTCCCTCCAAACAGCTCAGCTCCTTTTTATTCAAACCCTCCCCAGATTCACTTCCATTGTGCATTGTAGGCGCAGTCCCTTGGCGTAATGAACTCTCTCACAGCTGTAGCAACCATTGTTGAATTGTCAGTTCTGTTTAAAATGTCAGGATTAACTGTTACCCAGCTGGTCATCTGAGCAGGAAGAGCCACCTCATGGGCTCATTTGCTGTTGCTTGGTACATGGAGACGTGAGAGATTTCTGCAGGGCAGCTGTAGGTTGAGAATGAAAAGCTCTTTCCCTCATGGTTAAATACCAACTCTGCCCTACAAATACCTAAATGAGAAAATAAAACAATCGAGTCTATTTATATTTTTTTAAGTCAAGCCTGTGTTTTGTACAGGAAAAAAAAAATTTAGTGCTTTAGTGCTAGAAATAATTTGTTAATCAAAAAAAAAAGTGGCTGAGACTTTCGAGCTTCAGGATCTGTGCCTTTTCAAAACAAATACTGCAGTTTCACAATACTTGCAACACAGCCTGATCAATGCCAGCACACAGCTTCATGTATGGATCACTGGTGCTGGAAACCGCTCTGGATGGAATTTTTGAAGCAGTCCCACTCAAAGCCCGTAAAATACATAAAGAGGATTTTGAAACCAAACATTTTTGAGACATGGGAAGCACAGAGTTCTGGTTTGGATCCAGACTCAGTCTAGAAAGAACATACTAACTTGAAATGATTGACTACTCTGCTGGTAAAGGTATTATAGAGTTTCTGTATAATTAATTTCTACAAATCTTATAGTTTCATCCACTGCCAGTCTTACTCTAGCATTTCCTCTCCTAGACAAGAGATCATGGTTTTGAGATATTTGTCTCAATTAGTTTGCTTGCCAGTTTAAACACTTTTCCCTATTTAAGATAATTATGTGTCATTTAAAATAAATTTACAGGGAAAAAGTCTTATTAGAATCGTTTGCATTCAATTTAAATCATTAACCATAGCTATGGTTATACTGATATAACATGTTATACTGATAGTATCTGCAGGTGAAATCAATTTATCATTTGTTGATCATGGTTCGAAACACAGGTAAAATCCCAAGAAACTACAATCCCACACTGAAAGCACAAAATTGTGTTGTCACAGCTGAACTGGAGTGGGGGTACTGGGATTTGACTGCCTGAATTTATTCCTGGGGAAAATATCAGCCAGAAATCATAGTGGGGAGACTCAGATGTTGCTTGCTTTCACTTATTTTAGGTAACACAAGGACATAGCATAGAGATTATCCTGATATAAATGTTGGAGAGTATTAAAGTCAAGAATCCTGGTATACTTTCCAGAGAAAACAATATTTATGTTCCTCTGGGAAGAGCAGCACTATGTAAGACCAACAAACTGTCCAGAGAGGAATGACAGTCTCAGACATCTTTGCAAATTACTAGAGACAATTTTTGTATTTTGTAGGGCCAGGACAGCTTTTGCTGATACATTTTCTCTATCCAAAAATATAAATATTAGATTAAAAATAAAGCTAAAGGCTGAAATGGAAGTTTTTACCGTCCATTATTATTATTAAAATGGAAATATAATTTCTCTATGCATCCCAAAATATGTTTCAGTTCTAATTGGCCTGAGAAGTGAAACAGAGTTGCTTGCTAGAATATCTATTTTATATATATATATATATATATATATATATATATATATATATATATAAAATTTAATAGAAATTCCATTTAATTTTTCCTTACTTGTAAGACTTCACAGACTGGGTAGAAACTGTAACTTTTAAGTAAGTGCTCCTTTTAGTGTCCTACCAGTGTCATGTTCTGCTGGCTGTGAATTAACACTTTTCATGATGATGCTGGGCGTGTAGCAATGTCCATCACTGTATACAGTACTGAAAGACCATAGAGCATCCTGCATTTTAGGGTACCAAAGTGTTTGTCTCCTGAAAGTTCTTTTCCAAACATTTGTTTCTTTTTAAACTTTTTCTTTTCAAAATCTTGCTTTTCAAGTTTGCTCTTGCGTATCTTTTGTTTTGTGTTAATGAGAGTTAAAGTAATCAAATTCTCTCGGTCTCAGGTGTGGGAAAATTCTGGTAAATCTTGCCAGCAAGGTATATATAAATTATCACCAATCCTAATTTCCTACCTCTCTGGAACACCAGGAAATCAGTGAAATGGTCACTGGTTTTTGTTCTATTACCTCTTCTCCTGATTCATCCCGTGATCTTCCAGGCCAAGAGCAAATACCAAATATTTGGCCCTGATACCAAAAAATGTAAAACTCCTGCAGTTTTGTACCTGGGTATT